AAAAGGACATTATGTTAAGAATGAAATATCGGAATATGGAAGGATTAAATTATTAAGAGGTATCTTTACTTAATTATATTACAGAGATTATGAATTTTATTTTCATTTTTACATATTTATATGTTATAATCTCCTTCTTTATATTTAGGTGCTGACCCTAAAAAAGATCAAAGTTATTTTCTCTCAGCAGTTCCTGAAGAAAAATTTCGAAATGTAAAGTTTTAATATATAATAATATATTTTTATATAATATAATAATATTAATTATAATAATTATAGGTAATATTCCCAATTGGACATATGCTTAAATCGGATGTTAAAAAAACAGCACATGAAGCAAAACTTGCCGTTGCAAATAAAAAAGAAAGTATGGGAGTTTGCTTTGTGGGTAAAAAGAAAACATTTTCGGAATTTTTGGAACAATATCTTATTGGTCAACCTGGTGACATTAAAACTTTGGATGGTAAAATCATAGGTAAAATTTTTTTGCTTTTTGTTATTTTAATTACCATTGAATGATCGATCGTTTATTAAATGGTAATCGTTTAAGGTCAACATAGAGGACAACATGCGTACACAATTGGTCAACGTGCTCGGCTTCATAATGGTCCAAGTGCGTAAGTGTTCATAAATAATCTCTTATTTAAAAATATATATGCATATAAATATATAATTTTATTTAAATATATAAAATTTCCAATCTAAAAGGTGGTTTGTATATAAACGAAATAGTAAAGACAACACATTAACGGTGGTCCCTGGATCGTGAGTATTTCTAACTATTGAAACTACTGATATTACATCTGACATTAAACCTGACATTACATGATAAAGTTATTATTACGAGTGAATACTATACTGATCTCCTTTTTTCAGAGATAATCCAATGTTTCTCTCTAATAGCCTTATTGCCAAAGATTGGGTATGGAGTTGGAGTGAGCCTCCTTTAGGAATTGAAAACGGTGCGATAATGATAATATATATGAAATTAGCAACAATTATTATTATAATTTAACCTATATATTTAAACATAGGTGTTGAATTATTGGGTCAAATAAGATATCGTCAAGATCCAGTTCTATGTAAGGTGCAATTAAGGTAATTTTTACTACATAAATTTGGCTGTTTATTTGGATAAATCGTTAAAATCATAAATTTACTGAATGAATAATTATATATTTTAGATCTGATAATAAATATTTTGTTGAATTTAAAGAACCTCAATGGGCTATAGCTCCAGGACAGGTATACATTATAATTAAATTAAATCATTTTATTTATATTCTCATAATGAATTAAATTTATTTATTTATTATTTAATTAGTATGTTGTTGTTTGGGATGGCAATTGGTGTCTTGGTTCCGGAGTTGTTAATCAAGTCTTAGATAATAAAATAAAATAATTAAGATAACATATTAAGAATATAATTAAATAAATATTTATAGGTACGGTTTAAAATTTATGTTATTTATAACTTTCATTTTTCTACTAAACCTTTGTCCATTCATTCATTAATTCATTTTTTTTTTCAACTTGTCAATAAAATTTAACTTTTCTTTAAAGTTACTCCTCATTTTTATTACTATTGTAATGTTTCTTTATTATAAAAATTCTTTCATATAATGTAGTTTTCAGATATTTATATTCTTATTCAATAGTTTTCTAATTTAAAACAATTTACAAGAATGGAAGTCAATGGTCATCATTAGAACTATAAAACAAGAAACGAAAAAGGAAATGATGGTCACGTACTAGTTATTATTACCAGTTGTAAATAATCTTAAGGGTATGATTCTATACGTTATTTTTTTTTAAAAAATTGTTTTAATAATTTTGGTCACTTTTAATGGGTCTAAGTAAAGTTCAAATTTTCACTAAAAACTATCAAATATGAAATATGTTCTAATCAAACTTGTAGCTCTTGTTATAAGCTACAAGATAGTTGGTATCTGTTATTGATATCGAAAGACGTTTAGAATTTGGCATTTGATAACTCTTGATCAGTGTCACCATCCTTGAAATTTGATCTAAAGTCCGAACAAAGTTCATCGGTACTACAGATATTGTCTAAATCTCAGCACTATCGAAGTTCTATAAATATAAGGTTACTACAGATATTGTCTAACGTTCAAAGTTGCTTAAAGGTAATAATATCGTTATATAACGACAGCATAATATCGTTATATAACGACAGCATAATATCGTTATATAACGACAGCATAATATCGTTATATAACGATAGCATAATAATCAAATTGGTAAAATTACGAAGCTAAGTAATTTTCACTTGTAATATGTAAATTATTATTAGAATCGATATTTTGGCTTCTTTAGCAATGCATAAACTTTAAGAATAAAATAAAAAAACAAAGTTGTAAAGAATAAATATCCAATATTTATATTTCTCTATTTATTTAAACTAGCGCAAACTCTTCTAAACTATTATTTCTAATAGTTAGAAGATAAGAACAAATCAACTCTTAAAAATATTAAGAAATTGAGATGATGTCAACTAAAAAAAGAATAAAAAAACATTGATTTCTTATTAACTGAACTTGAGAAACTATCTAATTAATAAACTGCGATGAAACTGGTATGAATCATAAAATAATTTTTTATATATGTCCATTTTTTATTTTTATGGGATAAAAAGTGCATTATAAATTCTTGAACTTCGTAATTAATTTGTGGTGGATATTTAGTAAAAATTAATTTCTTTATTTTATCATATTAAATACACTGGTATAAAGGGTGTGATGCCCTCTGTGCAACCAGTGGCAGACTCTTTGATGATGATCACAGTGTTAACTCAGGGAAATAGACAATTGTCAGTAAAAGTTTTTGTGACACAAGACAACGGGTTTAACGTATTTTTTACAGTACATATATTTATATTTTATATATTTTTTTAGAGTAACCACTCCACTATTGAAAATTCGGGAGTAATTTTATTTTTGTTAAAATTAATTTGTAAACATGAAAAATAATAAAGTTTACGGTTGTTTTTGGTTACGTTAGGTAGATCGAAAAAAAATAATAATTATTTTTTTTTTAAAAAAAAGGTACATTTTATTTTTCAGAACATTGGAGAACACATGAAAATCGATAAAATAATTAATAATAAATATTTGATTAATAAAAATAAATAATTATTAAATAACTGTATACACATTTTTATGAAATAAAAAGGAGATTTTGTTAAAAAAAATAATTAAATTATATTACCTAAAAGATTTTTTTAAATGAATCATATCATAAAGTGTTTATCTCTTCACAAAAAATAATTTTCTAAGGGATATTTAAGAAAAGTTCATTATTAATTTATCTCCTGTTGTTTTCCACCATGACTTCCCCTAATAAATTTAGGCATTATTATTATTATTTAATTTATTATAAAACTCATGCAGTCATTATAATTAGTATTATGAATCGCGAATACAAAATCGCGATTATTCGACTATCAACAAATGTTAATTGACAAATAATCGTTATATATTTTTTAGAGAATTTGTTTTTTTTTACTTTTTTTTTGAATTCGCTCGCGATTTGCGAAGCATAGAGCGATTTCTACCAAGATATTTCTAAAATAGAAAGAAAGGCTTTGTTCTTAGCTACAAAATAATATATGTTTCATCCCAGTAGCATCGATATTTGCGGAGATATTCACGTTTAAAGTCAAATGTCTGTGAAAAATTTCTGCTATATAATTTTGGCCAGAATTATGGAAAATTTATGACAAACGTTTGGCTTTAAACATGAATATCTCTACGAATATCAATGCTTTGATATACAATATATATCATTTTGTAGCTAAGAACAAGGCCTTTCTTTCTATATTAGAAATACACAAAACTTTAATAATTACAAATATTCACAAATAATTATGAATAATCATCAAATAATCATGAATAATTTGTAAATAATTGTGAATAATCAGCAAACACATTAGGAATTTTATAGAGGCATTCTAGTATGCTATAAGTATGGAATGTTCAAATAATGCATTAAACAATTGTGTTCTAGTACTCTATAAGTATGAAATGTTCAAATAACATACTAGAATGTTGTATTCTAGTATGCTATAAGTACAAAATGTTCAAATAATACACTAAAACATTGTATTTTAGTATGCTATAAGTACGAAACATTCAAATAATGTACTAGAATGTTGTATTCTAGTATGTTAGTAATGTTCTAAGAACATTATATAAATGGTGTTCATATAGTGTTGTAAAATGTTTTTTATTTAATTCCTGATGTAATTGATGAATAATTCAAATAATCAACAAATAATTGTAAATATTCACAAATAATCATTGAATAATTGTAACAATTAATTGAGTACAGTTATAGACCTGACTCTTAACACTAAGTATAATAAGTTCATGTGAAATGATCTAATTCAACCAATTTAATAAATATAAAATTAATAATGTCAATTAATCAATAATTCACGTATAAAAAATTCTAACAAAAGATTATAGATCCATTTTTGTTTTTATATATTTTGTATTGTGCATAATATTATTAGTTAATGTGAAAACTATTATTTGACATCTGTAATAATTATCTAAAATAAAATTAGAACTAGAACTATATATATAAAACTGTAGTTTCCAAACATTTACTGGTCTATAATATTTTTTATACACTTCTGTAAAAATAGAAAATTGTATATTTAGAATTTTTATTTTATTAAGAATTGAATTTTGTATATTGCCATTTTTCAATGAGAAAATAAAACTATCATTAGTTTTTTTCCATCTACAATTATTAGTATTCCAAGCTAAAGAATTATATTCTTCAAAGATTTTATCTGTTTTTTAACTTTTATAATTACTATAGTGCTTACATGACTTTGACAAGTATTACAAAAAATTTGAAAATTAAATCTATTTATATTTTCTTTTAAAAATAATTGAAACTTATATAAAGTACTTGTTAAAGAATAAATATTTAAATAATCAATTCATTTTTTTCATTTATTGTTTTTATAATTAATTTTTATATTTGATAATTATATAATTTACTGTATACAGTAACCTGTAAAAATATTATGGCACTTGAATTTTTATTTTTAAGAAATTCTAGCTCCTAAACAATAAATTTTAGAATAATAGTTACTATATATATTTTAATTCTTAAGTTTTGAAGATTTTTTTGAGATGTTTTTGATATCAAATTTATAACACTAGTTAAAATTTATAAATAGTATATCTATTGAATACCTGATAGGTGTATAGCAGTAGGGAGCACAAACAGACTTTTTATTTTTAAGTATAATTTTATGTGCTTTTTTTACACCTTCAGTTTGTGAGTTTTTAATACTTAAATCATTAAAATTAATAGCATTTTTGATATATATCAGAAATCAATATTCAGGAACACATCTAGAAAAAATGTTTTTTTTCATTTTTAAACTAGTCTCTAGAAGCTCAAGAACTATAATTTGTTTTCTTGACAAAGCAAAGCAATTTAAAACTTAAGAAGTATAATTTGCTTTCTTTAAAATTTATATCAGTTATTTGTATAGTTATTTGAACTTAAACCATCCTTTAAATGTTTATAAATCTATATTACTTCTTGTCTAGCTAGAGTTTTCAAAACCTTAATTTTGATAATGATTAATTTATATTTTAACTTCATTTTTTTTTCTCTCTAATTTAGAAAAAGATATTTAACTTATCTAATATTTAGCTTTGAACATATATACAAAAATACAAGATTTCTTGTTTAGAAAGTCAGTGAGGAAGTAGTATTTTTGCTAAGCTGACAAGTATAAAATTACAAAACATAAAACTTTTTTTCTCATATATTTAAAAAAAAATAAACACATCTTAAACTTGCATTCAAAATTAACAAAATTAGCATATTGATTATTGGATTATAATCTTCATAACTAATTTTTTGAAAAACAGTTGACAGTTATCAAAAGTACTTAATATATTTAAACAAAATATCTGAATAATTAATATATAATAAAAAGTACAATATTCAAAATAGTAGACCACAAAAATATTAAATCAGCTTTAGTTGAAGTGATTAAAGTAGCATATAGTCAAGGTATCAAAAAATATTAGGAACATTATATATAAATTATCTTAAAACATTACAACAAAAAAAAGATCCAAAAGATCATATTAGATATATTGCAAAATAACATGTCCCAAATGAGAAAACTTATAATGAAAGAATAGCAGATTTCAAGGATTGGTATTATGAAGAAATATATACTAGTCTTGAAAATTTATATAAATTATATTTCAAACTGGTTAACCAAGAAAAGATTGTAGAAAAATGATTCAAGGAAGAAGTAGATGATATTCTTCAAAAAATCCATGGTCTAGAAATTTAATATTATTTAAGTATCCACTGAGGTGGAAGCATACTATCTTTAGGTATTTTTAATAATTCTTAATGAACAAATAATCTCTTGGATCCATTATCATTTTCATCAATAAGTCAGTATAAAATTAACTGATTTTTTTATATCAACAATTCTTTAATAGAATATATTTGAGGAAACCAATTACAATTGGTTATTCTTCTTTTATCTCCTTCTAACTCACTTAACTTAAATAAATATCTAACAGAAGTATTATAGAATAATCTTTCTTTATTAAATCCCATAGGTCCATTTCTTAGCTTGGAGAATTTAGTATATACATTTTTCTTTTTTTTGACTTTATTAAGTGACATTTCAATTAGTATTATTTAATATCCTAAGAACAATAGATCAATTTTTTATTCAAACTTTTGATCTTTGAAATAAAGGTAATAACAATTCATGTGCATTTTGAATTTAAAATACTTTTTTAGCAAAAATTTTATTAAAATTTTCAACAATACCCATAGTAAACTTAGAATTGGCTTTCTGATTTTTTACATTATGTTTTTTAAGAAGTTTTCAAAATTACCCTTAAATTTAAAACCCTTATCAGTTATTACTAATTTTATTATATCTTATGAAATAAAATACTCTAGATCATTAAAAAGTATTTTTTCAAAAGCTTCAGCAACTATAGCAAAAGTTAAAATATCTTCCAAAGAAAACTTATTATTATCTATATTTAAGATATCAAGATAAGTTCCAATTGGTTCTATTCATTTATAACAAGAAGTAACATCTACACAAGTAAGACAAAATATATAAATTATACCTTTCACAATATCAGTTTACAAAACTTCAAATGTGACAGTAATATTATTGAAACTTACATAAAGAATATATTTTAAATGAGATTTATGAATTTAATATAAAACTTGTCTTTTAAGCTAATTATATATTTCAGATAATATGAAATCGAATCTTATTTTTTGAGAAATTTCATAAAACTTTTTACAAGTAGTTTGATATATACGTGTTGCCCAAATCCCAAATTACTAGTATTTGGGATTTGGGATTTGGGATTTCGGCAAAAAATACTAATTATAATTTGGGATTTGGGATTTGGGATTTCGGCATTTGGGATTTCGGCATTTGGATTTTGAATTTGGGTGGCAGGTATAGTTTGATATCCAGAAGGATAATAATAAATTTTTTGTAAATCAATACTAACATCAAGTTTATAGGTTTTTTGTAAATCAATATAAATTACAGGTTCACCTATTATTTTAATTTAATATAGATAATAAAATTTTTTTAATAAATCCAGCATACATTGAAATATTGGAGAGTAACAAAGCTTTGAGAAAGGAGCTTAACTCTGAGATAAATATTAATATACTTAATAAGAAAAAAATTTGAAAATATCTTTATAAGTTAGAGCAATGCGATAAAACTATATCATTTCAGAATAGTACTATTATAGTACAGAAATTAGAAATTCAAGAATTAAAATTCCAGGTCTCAAATCTAGAAAAATATTTTAGAATAGCATTAGAAAATATCAAGAAAAAATAATCATATATTTTATATTTAAAGTAAGAATTAATTAATCTTGAAG